GAATCAACATTACATAGAAATCACACAGCAGCAGATTCATTTAATCTTCTACATAAATTTGTTAAAAAATAAAGACACATTTTCATCCATGCAAGCCTGTCATTATTGTTTTCTTTATCTTCAGACAAATGCTAATGATATGTAAATTATATGCAAATTAGCCGCCACTCTGATACATTTTTCTGGGGAGAACACTGAGTGTTTTTATGTTAAACATCAGTATCAATCTACTTTGTGCTAAATATTCAAATACTAAATTTAAACATTTCTTTTTCTCTCAGTTGGTTGAACCATTTTCCAGTTGGCGGAAGGATATAATGGATTTACGCTTGTCAACTATTGATAGTTACTTAGAAGCAATCAACGTTATTAAAAATCATAAAGGTATGTACGTCGATAGGAGCCTTGTTGCTGGTTGATAGATAATAAATGTTATAAGTAAAAAAACTAATGGATAACTAGTAAACTACTGGTAACTAACAAAACTACACATAACTAGCAAACATTCATTGGATCTTTATTCAGTCATCTATCAAATTACCGTAAACTACTCAAATAACATGGATAACTAGCAAAATATTCACAACCGTAAAATCATAACCGGTGTAAAAAAGTGATGTCTATTTGTTTATTTCAGGTAAACAGTTCAAAACTAGCGTTGAAAAAGCCAATGCAGAATTAGAGTTTGTAGCTATTAACTTACATTTACAGCGAATGAAGGTTTCAATACCAGATGGTAAAGGTGAGTGTGTATGTCATATACTGACTGTGTAATGTTTCAATTATTAACAAATTTAGTGTAGATGGGGGTTGAGAACCACCAGGAAGCAATGAAATTACATAGTGTGTTAGCTTGATATGTCTCTACGATCAGTCATCAACTTGACTGTAGTAGAGTGTCAGCCAGCAAGGTTAGTACAACTGTTTCTCAAGCTTTTTTTTACAAATACATAATTTGTATCACTCCGATGCCATCAGTTATGTAGTTCTGCACCTTAAAAAAAAAGAAATTCAGCCTTCAGTATTTTTGTATTTGCCAACTTGTTTGCTGAATTACTACATTTATTTTTCCTCATTTAAACAGTGTTTTCTCCTCCTGCTTCATCAATAACACATTGTATGTCAGAATGGGCTGCTCATCATTTCTATACCCACACATATCTCTTCATTTGCAGGTGATGAAGTATACGATGTCATTACGATAGGTGCACCAGCAGCTCACTCACTAAAGTTCAAATCAGGCGGTTTAAAAAAATTACTTCAACAACATAACTATAGAGAATCCATTGGAAGGTAAGGACTCCTTAACTTACTGAATTAACATACCTAACTCTTCATTATGAAATGTATAATGATATAGTGTGAACCAATTTAATCATTTGAATGTATGTGTGTCCACCTGTTCCTCTGAAACTTGGTACATAGATGCCATAGGTCAATGCACAGATCTGTTTAGTTTGGGTTTAAATATGTGCATATTAATTACCTAATTTGCATAATAATTCGTAATAAAACTTAATACATTGATGGTATTAAGCAGACCTTAATAGTTTTACATTAAAATCTATGCATATTGATTACCTTATTTGCGTGATAATTAGTCAGTTTTCAGCTTTTCCATGAATATCTAAAGTACTTATTTCAATGAATCTTGGTGCATTACGTAAATACTCTAAGACAATCTAATTAGTTTTAGGTTTATATACATCTATAATACTTACCTAATTTGCATTGATTTTTAGCTCCGCTGTCGACTTTGTCGAGCGGAGCTTATCATATGAGTGATTGTTCGTCGTTCGTGTCAATGTTTTACTTTTTGGACTTCTTCTTGAAAACTACAAGCCTGAATGCTTTGATACTTGGTGTATATGTACCTTGGGTAGACCTCTCTCAGATTTGTTCATTTCATGATCATATCTTCCATTCTCTAATTTTGGTGAATATTTTTGGTAAAAAGTGATATTTTCGACTTCTTGTTAAAAACCATAAGTCCAATTGCTTTGATATTACATATATAGGTACTACATGTGGACCTCTCTCAGATTTGTTCATTTCATGATGATATCTTTAATTCTCTAATTTTGGTGAACATTTTTGTCATTTTTGGTAAAAAGTGATATTTTCAACTTCTTGTTAAAAACCGCAAGTCCAATTGCTTTTATCTTACATATATAAATACTACATGTGGACCTCTCTCAAATTTGTTCATTTCATGATGATATTTTTAATTCTCTAATTTTGGTGAA